GGAAAGTTCAATGTGATAGTGCAGATGGGAGTTCTCATTGTTCCTTCACCTACCAGCCCTGTCTTGACAGGTGCACCTGGTGGGACCAAAATGTGTCCTCGGCTTGCACTGGAGTGGGAAGCACACTCACACTAGCAGAGGCCTGGGCTAGAGGACGTGGCAAGGTGGAGGTGCAGTCTTGCCCTGGCCCACCCTGGCCCTCACAGACACGGCCCACCCCACACCCCATCCAGGGAGCTCCTTGCCGTCCCCAAGGAGCATCTAAAGACAGTAAGGGCTCTTGATGAGCCTTTCCAGCCCACCATCCATTGGGCCAGGGTCTCCAGGTTCTCCAAAGCCAATGGGGCTGAGCCATCTCAAGTCTAACACGATACCTTTATTAGAATTAATCACACCTTAGCTCCCCGCAGAGGAGCTATTTTTTGGATCTCCAGGGCTAACCTCAGAGTAGGGCTGACCCTGCCCTCGAAGCTGAACTTGGCCCAGAATTTGCAGCTTGAAATTCCCGGCCCCATCCTCAGCCGGTCAACTTCATTCACGATCGTCCGAGGGCCTGGCCCTCTTCCTGGTTGCTTGTGGATGCTTCTTTGCTACTCACAGGTGAGCTGAATAAGTCTGGTTCCGGTTTTATCATGGCATTGAGAAGGGTGTTCCTTATCACTTCCTCGTTCACTTCACTATGTAATTTGCTATCATACAACAAGATGTCTTTGCTCAGCTTCTTGTTATAGCTCCTAGAGCTGAAAGAAAGCGCCCCCTCCCCATGCCCAGCGTTGTCTTCCAGGGAGGTGGGGCTCTCCCACTACTGCAGGCCGTGAGCCTGCAATGGACCTTCACCTCTAGCCTCTGGCATCGGGCCGCTTCCATCTCCTGACGCTAGCCAGACCCTTCCATCTCCTGCACCTTTGGGGGTCCTACCCACCATCTTCTCCCCAGTGCCAAGCTTGATGTGGTTTACGCCTCCCACAAACCCTGTGAGAGAGGAAGGCTGGGCTGCCTGTGTTTACTCGGTCTGAGCCTCAGTTTCCTCATCTGTAAAATGGGGGATAGTGATGGGACCTATTGTACATGAAGTGCTGGTTAGGATAAAGTGTGAAAAGGTGTGTAGAGGATAGGACCCGAAACGTAATACATGATCCATGCCTGTTAACTCTTGTCATTACTATGTTATCATTGCATGTTGCAAACGAAGAAACTCAAGGTACATGAAGAATCTCAGAGGTATTAGGTGCGCATCTAGGAAGGGGTAGCAGAGACAGCAATTCAGGCCTTCCGGCTCCAAAGCCTGTGTTCTTAACTACTGTGCTGTGGCTTTGCTGCATTACACTCCCCTTGTTTACAATGGGGCAAACTCCTATTCATCCTGCAAAGCCCAACTCATGTGTCACTTCCTCGTTGAGCCCACCCCAACTAACCCAACTCCCCAGAGAAATACTCCTCTCTCTGGGGGCTCCTGTAGTCTGACACCCCTCTGTCAGAGCCCATTAGTAATAACTGTGTGCATATCTGTCTCCCCCTGAACTATAGCTTGCTCTGACCACTGACAGCCCAACCCTGGTGGTGCCAATGAGAGTCTGAGGAGAATGGTGGGGAGGAAGGCAGGAGAAGGAGAGAGGCGGCGACCCCTGTAGTAGGAGCAGAGGGCCTTCACTGTTGCTCAGGTCCCCTAGGGCTCAGGAAGAGAGGGACGCACTCTGTTGGCCCAAATCCCGGAAACGGTGGTTCTGCCAAGCACAGGTCTTCTCCTGCGGGCACTGAGGAGAGCAGTGTGCCCACGGAAGGGGACCGGGTAGAGCCTAGTTCTTAAACAGGGTCCTGAGCTGCTGAGGCCAAGAGAGCTGATGTCGGCCAGTGACCTTTGCCCAGGCAGGCTTCCAGGAGGTAGAGAGAGGGGAGCGCCTGGCCCAGGCTGGACAGGAGGGCAGAGGCTGGGCCGGGGAGAGTTGGGCGGCAGCGGCAGGGCAGCTGGAAGAAGGCTATGGACACGATGGCTCTTCCCTCATAGGCCCTTTGGGCAAAGGGGCAGGCATGGACAGCACCTGACGTACTTTCAGGGCTTGAGAAGCAGGCCCTGTGCTGAGAAGAGCCCTCACACACCTACCGTTTGTATATGGAGAAGTGCTCCAGGATATCGACATGGGGCAGATTCTGTGTCTCCGGAAGCATGTAGAAGAGGGACAGGGACAAGATGGTTGAGACGTAGCCGATATAGTTGCTAACGAAGGGGGGACTCCAGGTGATAAGAATCAGGGACATCATGTTTCCACAGGCCCAGGCCAGAGTCACCAGCCCCAGACCCGTTGCCCTGGAAGGAAAGATCAGAGCTTGTCTACTGGGCCTTGGAGGCCCAAAGGTTGGAAGCAGCAGCTCCCCGAAACCCCTTCCCGGAACCCCCTGCCCCACCCCGCAGTCTCCACCCTGTCCTCACACACAGTGCAACCAACCTCGGGGATCTTAGCTCTCAGCTGACCAAAGAAGGCAGTGGTTTCTCTGGGCCTACTTACTGGAGTAAGGAGGGGTGAAGCCAGCCCCACGCAGCACCCAGCAGGTGTGCAGAGCGAGTGTGGGCAGGAGGGCGCCAGGCCATCAGCAAGCTCCCCGAGAACTGAAGGGCCTGACACTCAGAGGGGCCCAGATGGTCAGTGCAAGGCAGACACCGGGGCAGACCGCCTGGGGCTGGCGCTGGTTCTGCCATGGCTCTGTCTGACCTGGGGCCAGTGCCTTTCCCTCTCAGATTCTGTTGTCTCAGGCTAAGGATGGTGTTTGGGAGCAGTCTTGGTGAGGGCCACATGGAATCGACGTAAGCTTCTCAACACACTGTCTGCTGCGGGGTGCATGCCCGAGCTGAGCCGCTGCTGTCCATCTTGTGGTTGTCCTGCCTTCTCAACCCCAGGGCCTGCTCCCACCCGCCTCCTACCTGAGGACGGTAGGCAGAATCTCGGCGCTGTAGGCGAAGAACATGCTGATGGAGGTGGTCAGGCTGAGTTGTCCCACCAGGATCAACAGCAACAACGTGGTTTTCAAGTCTGTAGCCAGACAATGTAACCACCTGAGTTTGGGGCCATTTTCCCCTCAGGCCAGCTTAGGGGAGGCCTGCCCATCAGCTTTCCCTGAATCCCTCTCAGAAGGCATCTCAACAGTCCATCCCCACGCCCTGGCCAGCAGACTCAGGCATTTGGTCAGAGGAGGGATGGTGTGCCCAGGCCCAGCCAGCAGGGGGAGAGTTGTCAGTAGGACAGGAGGTCCCTCGAGGGCCACCATCTACTTGGCTGGACTTGGCCCCTCACATCTGTGCCTCCAGGCGGTCTCCTGTCTTCCCCATCCTTCCCCAGAGGCACCCCATCCATAGGTGCATCTTTGGAGGGAGAAAGAAACCAGGAAATGCCATGCCTCAGGCAGGTGAAGACAATAGGAGCTGAGGGCTCATAGCCCCTCCTCCTGCTGTCAGCCTCTGCTGGATCCTGGTCCTGCTGGCCCCACTCCCCACTCTGAACCCAGCTTTTCTTGGCCCTGGGATGAGAGCAGACATGGCTAGTGGAAATTCTAGTCCTACTTTCTCTCACTCACTGGAGAGTTTTAAACATTTCTGCTTGACTCATTATAGATTCACTTAAAAACAAACAAGAAACAAACAAAGGAACAAAACAATGCCCTAACCGGTTTGGCTCAGTGGATAGAGCCTCAGTCTGCACACTCCAGGGTCCCAGGTTCAATTGCGATCAAGGGCACATCCTCAGGATGGAGGCAGCTCATTGATGTTTCTCGCTCATCAATGTTTCTAATTATCTCTCCCTTTCCCTTCCTCTCAGTAAAAAAGCAATAAAATATATATTTTTTAAAACTAAAAAAAAGACAAACACCAAACACCAAGCAATAGAAATTGAAAAATGAATTTTTCTCACCATTTGGTTTTAGCAGCTGCACACTACCAACATCTCTGAGGAGAAAGGTCCCACCCAGCCAAGTGGCTCCCAATCCCAATCCCCAGAGAAAGAGAGGGAGCCCCCTTGAGGCAGACCCTGGACACAGTCCAGGCCCTAGTCCTGGCCCCAGCAGCTGAGTGGTCCATGTGGGCAGCAGTGCTGATTGGGTGAGAACAGACATCTTCATGTGCACATCCTCAGCCCTGGGAGGGGACCTGGGGTGCGGAGGGGGGTACTCCTTCACCCTAGGGCTCTTTGACATTTTGAAAATATTGCCAGCTCCCCAAGTCCCCAGCTTTCCTTCTTTTGTTCTGAGCCCCTGGGACACCGGGTGCTGTGCCCCTGGGTTGCGGGTTCTGCTTTCCTGTAAAGTCTACAGTTAACTGGCATTTTCCAATCAGAGGCTAAGATGAGAGCAGACTTTGGGTAGCAGTGGAAAGATTATTTTGCTGCATCGGTACACATTTTCCCCCACTGTTTGTTTGTTAATCCATACCTGAGGATATTTTATCATTGATTCTTAGAGAGAGTGGAAGGTGAGACACACAGTGAAAGAAATACCGATGTGAGAGAGACACATCGATTGGTTGCCTCCCATACATGCTCTCGCTGGGGCATGGGATCGAGCCTGCAACAAAGGTATGTGAGCACTTAACCAGAACTGAACCCATGATCCTTCTTCATCCTGAGGGCTGGCACTCTGTCCACTGAGGAAAACTGGCCAGAGCTGTTCATATATTCTTTACATATTCTTTTAACATTTTTTAAAAATAGATTTTGAGAGAGACAGCGAGAGAGAGAGAAACATTAATGTGAGAAAAAAACATCCATCAGCTGCCTCCTGCACACCCCCTATGGGGGATCGAGCACACAACCCAGGCATGTTGACTGACCAGGAATTGAACCAGCAACCTTTCCGTGCACTGAGGCACCTGTGCACACCCAGGGCTGATTCTGTTCACATTTAACTACCCGATCTAATGTGGATTGGAATCAGATGGAAGAAGGCTGTCCATACTCCTGCCCACCCCGGGATGATTCCTACAGACGGCTTCCTCGCTCCCAGGCCTCTGGGAGCTATGGGTGCCTGGTCTTGGGGACCCCACCACCCAGGGAGGGCAGTGCTCCCTGGTACTGGGGCCCCTGCAGAGAAGGTGGGTTGTGGGTGTAGAAGACTGACTCCCAGGGTGTCTTGTTGGAGAGACAGGGCAGGAGGCACAAGGGAGGGATTTGGCAGAAGGCATGGGGAGCAGGAGGGATGCTGTACCTGAGGGGATGAAAGTGATAAGGAAGTTCATGAAGCAGCCTTGGAAGAGAGCCCCTGCCATAGACCACTTCCTCCCAAAATGCTCGAACAAACAGATGCCACACAGCCGTGCGGGCATCTCCAACATGCCAGGAATCATCTTGCTCAACTGTTCATTCAAACCAAAAGCTTCCATCTTCAAGTTCAGCGTAGAATAGCTGTGACCAACAGTAAACCTGGAAAGAGACCGGAAGATAACTACTCAGAGAGAACAGGAGACACACACACAGATACCCTCATGCAGATGTGGCAAAGTGAAGACGGAAGCGATGAGGGTAGGAGTGGGCAGGGGGGGAATGGAAGGGAGAAATAAACACAGATCCTTAGGCCTTGCTCCCTTGCAGCCAGGCCATGCCCCATTCCTTCACCAGAGGTCCTGGCATGCACTTCTGTTTGCAGTACTTGCGGGCCAGCCTTGGGGACTCACCACACAAAGACCATCACCAAGATCACCTTGCGCAGTTGACTGTTGCTATAGAAGTCCAGGATTGAGGCATTAGTCACCTTCTTTCCAGGCACCTGTAGCTACAGGACAAGCAGGACCAGCCAGAGGCAGAGTGGAGATTGCAGCTTGCTTCCACCCCTACAAGTCCCACAAGGTCCACCTGCCCCCACAGTGCCAGCCTGGTCTCTGGTCTTTCCTTGATGAGATTTGATTTTACTGTCACTGTTCCCTTCAAGCAGTGGGCTGGAGATACCCTCTGGGCCAAGGTCCCACCTGAAAGGATGAGGCGGACAAAGGCCCGTCCACAACCCCAAGCCCTGCCCTACTCTGGGCCTGAGGCCTCTTACCTTGTCCAACAGAGGTAAAGGAATGGTCCTCTGGTTCCTTTCAGCGGCAGAGAGCAGTACCTGCTTGGCTTCCTCCACATTCCCCTTCACCAACAGCCACCGAGGAGACTCTGGGAGAATCCTGCAGGCACACCCTCATTCACCAATCACTCCCAGATGCCCCAGACACCCACGTGGGCCTTATCCCTGCCTCAGGGGTGGCCATCCTGATCCAGCATGAGGTCTGAGGTCATCTGAATGACCTCATCATTCAGGATGCCTGAATGACTTCAAGGCGTCCATCAACCTCAGGAAGTCCTCTGTCCCTCCTTGGAAGTCATTCCTTCCCTGCCTAAGCCACACACAGGTCCCACAGCTGCTTGGTGTCAGCCTGGCCATTACTGCCCCTGCCCGGCAGTGTCTTTCCCCTCAGCCACCTTGAAGAGCTCAACTACGTTCTATCTCAAGGGTCATCCTCGCCAGCTCAGGCACATGGAGGGCACTGTCTTCTATGCCCACACCCTCTATTAGAGCCCATTCACATAGCTGGGATTTCAGCCCACACTGAACGAGTTGTGCCCTGAAGTAGCTCCATTTTTCGGGCCCTCTTCATTCCTCAACTCCCTGTCGCTCCAGGGAAGTCAGCTCAAAATCATCAAGACCAACTTCACTAGACTTCTTTGGTGTGTTTGTTTGCCTTCAACCTGACCATTCCTTGTCCTTGAATCTTGCCTTTTGACACATTGCCTTTTGGTTTTCTGAAGAGCTCTCTGAGAGCCCTTTGAGGGTCTCTTCTGAGGGGGGTTCATGCTGGGGCTCCAGAGGCTTTGCCCCCGGCTCTCTCTCATCTCATCCCCACATTCTCCCAGGGAACAGTCCATTCACTCCATCCCTTTAAGGATCCTTCCCAACCCACAATCTCCAGTCCCTCAGACCCAGCCCACGCATGCCCCGTGCTTCTTGGCTTACCAGATAAAGGAGACGAGGAATAACACAGGGGCTGTGCCAAACACAAACACCAACCGCCAGTGGGGAAGGGTGTAGCCAAGCCCAATCAGGAACATGTACCCCAGAGAATAAAAGCTCTGGCTCAGGATGATGGAGTGGGCCCGATGCTCGCCCACTACCCACTCAACATCTGTGCAGAGGCCAAGAGGAGAAAATCCTGGTCAGCTCAGGGTCCCTGGGGCTGCTCCTGCAGCCAGCCTTGTGAGATGCCCAGCCCTACTTGGGACAGTTCAGACTGGGCACACATTCCCTGCACCTCCAGGCAGCCTGAGGTGGAGCTATTTCCTCCACTCCACTTGCCATTGGATGGCAACTCTGTCCTGCAGGCTCATAGCTCCTCCCCCGATCCCGCCCCCGCAGTGTCCCCAAACAGGCCATCCTGGTGTACACTCCCTCCATGCACCCCACCGCATGCAACCTGGCCTCACTTAGAGCCATGCTGCTGATGGCGTAGCCGACCAGGGAGTGGGACAACCCAAAGCGGAAAAACAGATACTGGTTAATGCTGGTGACGAAGCTTGTCCCAAAGCCAAAGATGATTATGCCCAAGTTCGACAGCAGTATGCAGGGGTAGCGGCCAACCCTGTGGGGATCAAAGGAAGGCTGTACCAAGCGCATGGACCTCCATGTTTGGACCCGGCCCAACGCTCAGGCCAGGTCCTGAGCCATCCACACACCTCCAGAGTGTCCCCACCCTCGCCTCCCTCAGCTTGAGACTGCTCAGCTCTGCATGCCCATGAGGAGGAGGAAGGGGCAGCCCCGGGGCCAGAAGAAACTCAGGGAGACTCACTTGTCACCTATGAAGCCAAAGATGAGTGCCCCTGTCAGGAGGCCTGTCAGGAACATGGACTGCGCGGCTTCCGGGGAAAAGTCCTCACCACACACCAGATCAAACTGGGGATTACACACAGGCATTGGCACAGGCCTCCACCCAGGGTCAGCGGTCTGGTGCCCCAGACAGAGCCTCCTCCCAGGGTGGGTGGTTAGACAGAAGGGGCCTGGGACAGGGACAGGCAGCAGGCCTCAGCTCTGTCACCCCTGCCTTCCATCCTGCATCTGGCAGACTCTGGGAGGCAGGCCTGAAGGGAGGGACCAGGAGCAGAGCCATGCTATGGGAGACATGGAGAGGTCCCTGTGTAAAGGCCAACATCACTAAAGACCCTTCCCCAAATACAGATGCTGGGCTCCAGCCCAGAGGTTCAGATTGGCAGGTCTGTGCCTAGAAGGGCCCGTGTTGCATATTAGACTGCTTTTGTCTTCATTTCCCGATCTTCTGTGAATTCAGAGGGCAGAGCCACAACTACAGAAGCAGCTCCTTGAAGAAATGGCAAACCCTGCCATCTGCCCTCTGCCCCTACCCCCAAATCCACTCTAGCTCTCTGGCTAAGACGGGCGAGGCTAGTGCTGGGCAGCAAGAATCATAAGTTCCTGCCCTGGCCCTTCCTCTGCTAGGTGACCTTGGTCTAACTGCTAATCATCCCTGAGCCTCAGTTTCTCCACTTGTTTGGGGAGGGGGAGGGCACATCTCCCAGCCCATGCTACAGGCAACCCAGGACAAGCCGCACCTCATTGATTATTGATCGAGTCTTGCTCTCAGGGTAGACAAACCCCTGGCTGCACGGCTGTGTGTAGTTGAGGCCAAACTTGATGATGGAATCCAGATCCCAGGTCACAGGCAGGAACATGCGGCATGTCATGAAGCTGCCATTTTTGTACCGGGGCAGGGTCAGGTTCAGCTGCTCAGCCATTGACAGGTTAGGGCCCACGTCCAGGATCCAGCTGGTATTGCAATAGGCCTTCTGTTCTCCAGACACAAAGAGGTCAGCATACACAAACAAAACCCCCAGCATTTGGGGAAGGAAGGTTAGGGCTACCAGCCTTCGCTGGAATGGGCCAAACTTCCCCATCACTTCCATGATTTTGGCAAGCTTGTCTCGCTGGTTGGCTTCCATGATCCTCAACTTGTGTAACAACTCTGCTGACCTGAGACTGGATTGTTCTCCCTCCTCACGCAGTTGTAAGTTCCTGTAAGAGGTTTTGGAGCTCCATTGGCTTGTCTTTACTAGCCATCTGTTCAGAGAAAGGATGCTGCTCTGTGTCTACCAACCAGAGCTTGAGGGCTGGCGTGGAGCCACTGACTAGAAATTGGCTTCTCTGTCTTGGAACAATTTGGATTTCAATCTTGATGTTCTCTGTAGCTCCTGCCTTTGCTTCTGAAGTTTCTTAGCTAATTTGTCCCCCATTGGCCCACCCATTCCTGTCTCTTTAATGTTTTACACCAGTGGTTCTCAGCCTTTCCAATGCCGCGTTGTGGTGACCCTCAACCATAACATTATTTTCGTTGCTTCTTGATTACATTATGAATCGCAGGTGGAGAGTCATAGGCGACCCACAGGTTGAGAATTGCTAGCAGGGTAGCCTAAGACCATCAGAAAACACAGATATTTACATTACCATCCATTGACAGAAGCAAGATCACAGTAATGAAGTAGCAACAAAAATAATGTCATGGTTGGGGGTCACCACAACATGAGGAAATGTATTAAAGGGTCGTGGCATTAGGAAGGTTGAGAACCACTGTTATAGATGATGCCCTGCTAAGTGCTAAGTTCTCCAACAATTTCCCGGCTTCTGAAACTTACCTTACACACACACACCAAGGCACTACCAGTCTTGCAAAAGTAGAGTTCTCCAGGGAAATCTGTTTCAAAACAAATACAAACAAAATAACAACACCACCAAAACATCCCCAAATCTGGATCAGGAGAGGCCAGGAACTAAGGCCACAGAGAAGGGGCTGATGCAGTGAGGCACCAAAATAGTAGGATGAACCCAGTCAGCGTGGTTTATTGGTTGAGAATCAACCACTATGAACCAAGCGGTCACGGTTCGATTCCAGTTGGGGCACATGCTCAGGTTGTAAATTCAAGGAGTGCAGGAGGCATCCGATGAATGATTCTTTCTCATCATTGATGTTTCTCTTTCCCTCACCCTTCCTCTCTGAAATAAGCAAAAACATATTTTAAGAAATATGTGTGCCCTACCAGGTTTGGCTCAGTGGATTGTGTCAGCCTACGGACTCCAGGGTTCCAGGTTTGATTTCGGTCACGGGCATGTACCTTGGTTTCGGGCACATCCCTAGTAGGGGGTGTGCATGAGGCAGCTGATTGATGTTTCTAACTCACTCTCCCTCTCCCTTCTATGTTAAAAATCAATAAAATATATATAAGCCCTAACTATAGTTTGGCTCAGTGGATAGTTTTGTCCTGAAGATTCAAGGGTCCCCAGTTCGATTCCAGTCGAGGGCATGCAGTCAAGGGATTCCAGTCAAGGACATGGTTGCGGACATATCCCCAATGTGGGGGTGGGTATGCAGGAGGCAGCTGATGGATGTTTCTCTCTCATCAATGTTTCAAACATTGTAGTTTCTAACATCTGTAAAAACATCAATAAAACATATTAAAAAAATAAAAAATAATTTTTTAAAAAAGGAATATGTGCAAAGATACCCATTAGGGCGGCTAACACTTTAAAAAACAAAAACAAAACAGAAAACAACAAGTGTTGTTGAGGAAGTGGAGAAATTGGGACCCTCCCACAGTGCTGCTGGGAATGTGAAAGTGCAGCCAAGGAATGAAGGCAGCTGAAGCAGCTGGAAAAGGCAGGAGAAGGAATACGCCCCTGGAACCTCAAGAAGGAACGCGGTCCTGCTGCCTGACACCTTGACTGGAGCCCAGCGAGGCCCATTCTGGACTTCCGACTTCCAGAGCTGCGATGTAATAAATGCATGTTGTCTTCAGCCACTAAATTTGTGGTCATTTGTTACAGCAGCCTTAGGAGACTCATACGGTGCATATACATGTAAGGTTGGAGGGGGGCGGAAGTGGATGGAGGAGACTTCCCAGGGAGGGGACTTGGCTCTGCCCAGAGACCTGGCTTTCAGGAGCCAGCTGCCCCCGCCTTGCCCTCGGGGTTCCCTTCAGTGTCCCCCCAGCATCACCTGAATGCCCGCAGGGCTCTGACACTCAGCAAGGCCCTGGAGCACTCGCCCCTCTGCTGACTCCACAGGTGCCCTGCCAGGTGGACAAGCCCCAGGTAATTGGTTCTCAAGGTACAAAAGAGAAACGTAAGCCCTGGCCAGTGTTCTCAGTGGTTAGCGTAACAGCCCAAACACTGAAGGGTCTCAGGTTTGATTTCCGGTTTTTGGTTTGATCCCCAGCCCCATTCAGGGTGCATGCGGAAAGCAACCAATCTATGTGTCTCTCACACATCAATGTTCTATCTCTCCTACCCCCCCATCCTCTTTCCTTCCCTCCCATTCTCTCTCTCTCTCAAAAAAAAAAAAAAAAAAAAAAAAAAAAAAAAGGAAGGAATATCCTTGGGTGAGGAGTAACAACAGAAAAGGAGGAAACTGAGACCTGGAAAAGAAACTACAGCCAGGAGCCATGCTCCATCTGAGGCAGGAAATGCCAGATGCCACACTGAAGCCACACTGCCTGTGAGGGCAGCCTGCTCCCCCCACACACTCCCACAGTCCAACGGTCCTGGCAGCTCCTGTCCACACCTGTGCTGACAATACGGCCCCACATTTGCCACGTGTCATCAAAACCGCCACCCTCCGCACCCGCCCTGTCCCTCCTCATGGAGACAGAACCACACCCCAAAGCCAGGACCCACCTCAGCATCCTCCAGGCCTAGCCAGGCTGTAGGCAGCAGAACCTTTGGGTTCCAATGGTGGCCAGGAAGTAGTGTCACAATGGGGCAGGGAGTGCTCGGGTGGGGTGGCATGGGAGGAGCAGCATTCTACTCCAGGGGCCTCACTGGGCCACGGACCCCAGGGGGAGGCTGTGGCAAGGCAGGTGGGAAAGTCTCCCTGTGAGCCAGCTCCAAGCCTTTGTGCAGACTGTTCCCGGCTCCTGGAGCCCCTGCCCTCCCCTTAAAGGTCCCACCTCCTCTGTGGGAAGTTCTTCTGTCTGTCCAGGCCCAACTCACAGGTCCTCAGTCCCCAGGTCTAAGGTGGGGGTGGGAGGAGGGGTAGAGGCAGGACAGGCTCCCCCTCTGGCTGCTCCCAGATCTATAGGGGGCAGCGGTGAGCACTGAGCCGCAGGCCTGGCCCCCTAGCAGCTCTGTGCAGGGCAGT